CGGCCCCGCGGCTGCCCCGCCCCGCCGCTTCCGGCTCCCTCCGGCCGCTTCCGCCTCCTCTCGGCTCTTCCCGCTTCCTTCCGGGCCTTGCCGCCTCCTTCCGCCCCGCGCAGCGGGCGGCCCCGGCCAAGCGCCGTTTCCGCTGGAATTAGCCCCAAAGCTAAAAGCGCGGCGGTACCGTCGCTGCGGGCGCCCTGACGCGGCTCTGCCCCCAAGCGAGGCGTTTCCCGCCCTCCCTCAGAACAAACAGAAAAAGAACGGATAAATAAACAAACAAACGGCCGCCAGCCGCTCCACGGCCCTTTAAGGGGCGCGGTGCCGCAGCGCGCCCCGCCCCGGAAGTGCCACGTGTCCGGAGTGCGCCTGCGCGGCCTGCCCGGTAGTTCCGCCGCGCGGTAGTTCCTCCCCCCTCTCCCGCCCCTTCCTTCCCTTCTCTCGCCGCCGGAGCCGGGGCCTGGAGCCAGGGCCGGGCCCGCAGCCGCCCAGCCCGCGCCATGGCCCAGCCCGCGCGGCCGCCCGCCGCCTTCCGCGGCCAGAACGGCGCCGGGCAGCAGCCCTACAGCAACGGTGAGGGCCGCCCGGGCGGGGGGCGGCGCGTGGGGGGCACCGCGGGGGGGGGGGCTCCCGCGCTGAGGGAACGGGGGGCGGGGCGCCCTGAGGGGACACGGGGGGATAACGGGACCCCGGACCCCCCCCCGGCACCGGGGGGTCCTTCCCCTCCCCGGGCCGCCTGCGAGGCCACACGTGGCACCAGGAAGCGCTTTTTAAGTTTATTTCTTTATTTCCTATATATATATATGTGTATATCTATATATGTTTTCTTTCTCGTTTGCGGTAGGTACCGCGAAGGGTGTTTTCTCTTTCTCCGGCGTTAATTAGCTTTTTTAATTAGCCGCTCAATTAGAAGGGTGGAGGAGCGAGGGGTGTCAGGAGCTTCGTGTGCGTCGTGGGCCTTGGGGGGCCGTGGTTGCGCTCCCCAATGTGTGAGGGGAGCGTGGGCCTTAAACTAAACATATATATATATATGTATATGTGTGTGTGAGTGTRTATATATATATTTATATGTATTGGGAATCAGAAATCTCATTACTATATATATACTTACACACACATCCCTGTCTGTATATACGCGTGTGTACACACACACACATATATATATATATATATTTATATACGTGCCCAGGGACGTGGCTCCCGATAGGGGCAGCGCCTTTGGGCTGCTGTTTGTTTGCCCTGCTTTTGGGCCCTTAGCTTAACGCTCCCAAAACGCAGCTTCCCGGGAATCGCCACGAGTAGGAAACTTGCCGCCCTGCTGAGCATTGTTACCGGGAAAATGTAAAGAGTTATTCGTTGGGTAAGATAACCCTTACACGGGGTTTTTTTTTTGCTGTTGATCTCTTAATGCCAAAAAAAGAGAAACCCCAGAAAGCCACTCTTTAAATATCTCTCATCTGACAAAAACAGCCGTCAGAAAAACCCACAATTTGTGCTAATTAGGTAAAAATGATTAGGTGAATTGGCTTGCAGATGGAGACGCTGTCCCTTGACCCCRCTCAGGCCTTTGGAACCTGCCTGTACATGTGGCAGCCGCCGCGCTGGGAGGATCTCCCGGAGCTCCTGGCCACTCCTTTCCTTGCTCTGTGTCTTGTCGGTCGCGTAAAACCCACTTGCYCTTGTTGGGGTGCTCTGATCTGGGAACCCCGCGGCTCCCTCCCCTTCAGAACGGGTTTTGGACTTAGAAAAACAAGTTTTGAAGGTGAAACTGGGTGATTTGCTACCTTGGCCTTTTCAGCTGGGCAGAAAGTGATGCAAGAGGAGCCTTGTCTCCCTATCAAACTCTGTTTTGAAAATTTATGCTCTGGGGAATATTTCCTAATTTCGTATATGCACATATATAGTTAGAGTGAGAGTGTCCCCTGTACTTCATTCCTTAATTACATACTTCTCTGTTTCARTGGTTACTCTGCATCATAAACAATTCGGTTATAATGAGATCTTTTGAATTCTCTGCTTTAGACATGAGTAATTAAATAGTTGAACTTGTCTTTGCCCTCCCCCTTTGCAGGCAGCTTATTACTATTCCTCGTCTAGAAAATGGCACTTTACAAACAACTGCACAGTTGCAGCAATGTGGGAAGCAATAAAATACTGCCTGAGAAGAGAGCCTCTGTTCTGATAAGTTTATGGTCCAAAAGAGGCACAAAAAAAAAAAGATTGAATAGCAGCTAATGAAGTGTCAAAGTGGGCTGGTTTGCTAATAGTGGCATMATTTTATATTTGCTATTTTTGATATAGACTGGAATAATCACATACTGGAAATCTGTTGAATCTGTCAGGCAGTCAGGTGTATAAACTAAAGAACTGAAATTGAAAGTTATGCAAACAAAAGGTAATAAAGCTAAAGCAGTTGTTACGCTGTGTTAGAGCTCTGGTTTGGCCTTTCAATAAATTAGATTATTCAAGTGAGGACTGTTCTTAGTATTGTTTGAAACATAGGTCGAGAAGGTGACGTGACCCTGGACTTTTATATTAAAAAYAACATATTTTAAAGCCAGCCAGGAACACACTTTAGGAGTATTGTTATAGTAGAGTGGTGCATCTACTAAGGAAGCTGTGCACAGAATATAAATTCTTATGTAGCTGTCAGCTCTATTTCTCTTTTTTTTTTTTTYACTTTACTTTTGCAGGTAACTGCCTATAAATCATTATAGCTGCACTGTGTGTTGACCTGTAAATTTTTAGTTCTGAGCGTTGGATTGATGGGCAACAACTCTCCTCTGCTTCCTTTTTTTTTTTCTTTTTTTTTAATCTTTCAGTATTAATGTGCATTTAAGTGAATATGGAATATTGATGCTAATTTGCTTTTCAGTTAATAGATTTGAAGTGTGAACGTGAAGAAGCAGCWTTAAGTTGGTGAGCGTTCTTTAAGTGTTAATGGATCTTCTAGAATTGTTTTGGTGGGCTCATGTGATACCTTGGAGCCTCACTCCGAGGTCATGAGATGCTCTAGGAACGTTTGCCCTTGGTCGGTTCTCCATGTGCTTGGAAAATGAGGGGTCAGGCTTAGCTCAACTGGTAGTTCAGTTAGAAATCAGCTTTTTAAGTTATTTGCTTTTGTATCTCCCTGAAGGTTGAGGAGGTTGCAACTGGGGAATGCAACACGCAAAATATTTGTCTTGGAGAGGAACATACTGAAATTCTGTGTGTCTGGGAATAGATCTTGAATCCAGCCTTGCAAGCTAACGTTTTGACCCTCTGCATAGAATCAGTGAGTGGCACTTAGGTATTCCAGTGCCCTTCCTCATCTCTTAGACACATTGGATGACCTTGTGGACCCACATTGGGTGACCTTGTGTTCCTCTCTAAATTTCTTTCATTGTGAAACTGGTGGCCCCGTTTCCTGTGTCACTAACTCATCTCTGCAGCGTGCTGAGCCTTAGCTGCTCTGCTGTCGTGCAGGTGATCCTCAGCCCACACAGGCTCCTTGTTGGTTCCTGGGCTTCGCAGAGCAGGAAGCAAGCAGCATGTGGAGGAAGCTGGAGAGCCTGTAGGATTCTGTGAGGTCTCAGGAAAAAGGTTGGGTCAAGACTAGCAGCCACCAGCAGCCAAGCAGCAGGTTCTGAGGAGCCTTTGTGGAGCTGTGAAGGTCACTGCACCCCTTGCTGCTGCTGCTTTGGTTTTGCTGGCAGATTCATGCAGGCATGTCTGAAAAACAGCAGCTGAGCAGGAGCTACTGCAGCTTTCTGTGGTGCTTGGGACCATGGAAAGGAAAAGGAGAGTTGGAATTTGGAATGTTAGACTGTGTTGAGCTAGGTTTGAGTTGGTGCCATAGAGAGTACCGGATCGTTTGTTTTCAGGCTTTACCTCCCTTTCATTGCCTTGTCCTCAGTCTTCAGGGAAAGTAGTGTTTAAAAGAGCAGTGAAAATACTCCAGTTTCTGCCATGGCTAGAGTGTTGTGCTGTAGGATGAATAATAAAGTTAGGAAAATAGTGTATTTTTATATCTTTTGTATGTAATGTTAGTGTGCCAATAAACATGGCAATGCAATTGGGATGTGTCTCATCACATAAGTCTCAGTTATGTTAGAGTTTTATTAGAATTAGCAAGTGAAATTTATCCATCCATCTCCAAAACACATTGAAAAATCCTGTTTGTGTGCTGCAGGATAGTTTTACAAGATGAGTAGTTGCTACAATTTTTGTTTTTGCAAGCTTTTTGTTTTGCCATCATTGTTTTAAGGGTGTTATATATTACTAAGACTAATGACCGGCATTGTAAGGATGGGGAGTATAACTGGATATTGTAGGTGAAATGTGGGTTACAATTTGTGATTAATATATAGAGAACAGCTTGATATTTACTTTTTGTGCACAAATAACCCAGGCAAATAAGAGATCACCAGTACTACCTTGGCTCAGCACTTGGCAGTTTCTTCTTCTTTTTTTTTTTTTTTTTTTTTAATTGTACATAGTGTTCAATCTTGCAGATGCCTCTGGTATGGAAAATAAGTTGTTTTTTATAGACTCAAAAAAAAATTTTGGAAATTTGGTATAGTATAAAGCTGTAAAGAGCAAAATCTTAAGCCTAAACTGAAAAGAGGATCATCGTTACTTTCTTACACTTACATTCATATTTGAAAAGTCTGTAACATTCAAACTGCATTTAGAGGTTAGAAAAAGGCAAACCTGTCATGCAACTGGCTAAAATAAATAGAAGTGATACAAGTTCAGAAAGTGTTTTAATGATCTTTAAGCAATCATGATTAACAATGCCATCACTCAGTCAATAGGATTCCAATTGAAAAGTTTATACTGTCTTGCTATCAATATTTTTCTTCCTAATTTGTGAATTGTCTCRATATTTTATCCTTCATTCCATATTCCTAACCAACTGGCTTTTTACATGAGTAGCATCTGTATGAATAGTTCTCTTACTAAAATTAACTAGCAGAAAGTTTCATGGATTAATTTTGTCACTTGAGAAATAACATGGTGACCTATGCAGATACTGGCTGCTTGTGTCTTTCCTGTAAGTTATTGTCAATCTTCAGTGAAACGAAATTGTTAGGAAGAAATTCTTTTGCTTTCAGTTTGCCACTTTGTACTACTGCCAGTTCTGTAGGAAAGTGTTAGCCTCTGGTTAACTCGCTTTTCCCTGTTCTGGGGATAGAAGTAATATAGTGTGTGAATTTCTGTCTAGGATCATGAATTATGCTCAAACACTGAATGCTTTGTGAGTTGCGGTGTTACACAAGGCAATGGTAAAAAAAAAACTGTACGAAGATCTAAGTGTTGATAGCAAAATACTGTGGAATTCATGTCTTCTCTAGCGGTACCTCTATCACTTGCACCTGGATTATTAAAAAAAAAAATATGGCTTAGAGACCAATAAAATCCTAGGGAGAGAGGTTCTCGAACATCTCTTCTGAAAATAAGTCTCATACAACACTGACATTTTAAAGGTTTTTATCTTCCAGGTCCTGTTCAGAATCAGCTGATGCATTCGTCGGATGGCCAGGGCTATAACCCATCAGCTCCAGGATCATATTCGCATCAGATGCCAGCCAAGGTTCCTCCACATCAATCTTCTGGACAGTATAACTATAGTAGCTCTCAGATTGCCTCTCAATTAAATAATTATCAAGGACCTGGACAGATTCTCAACAGGGTGGCACCTCCGTCGGGATCGCCAGTGCAACAGGCAGGGTCTGTCCCACAAGTGCTGCCTCCTGCGCCCCAAAACTCAGCGGCATCCTCAGCTGGTGGCTTCGGAGCTGCCCCCCCGGGGCTCTCCAGCTGGCCCTATGGCCAGGCCCCTGCGAGTCATCCTGGTGGGTCTCAAACGAGCCACTTGGCCCACGTGGCAGGGACAGCGTCAATCCACCCACCGTCATCCTTGCCAGGAAACTCCAATCCTCCAGGGAGTTACCAATATGCTGCTTCTCCTGGAGGTCCCCCGCTTCAGAACAGCTACATGAAGCCAGGTAACCAGGACTCTTCAGGAACGTTTTGTTTTTAAGCTGTCTCCTAATGACCATTTCTCTGTTTCTGCTTTAAAAAGGTTATACAGAGTTTACTCTGCAGTAGCTATTTGTGTGTAGAACCGGATTGTCAAAACAGATACTCTGAGAAAACGCACATCACATACAGTGGGGGTGACTTCTTAGGGTTTGAAATGAAAATTTTGTGTATAGTTCAGGCATTTGAGTTCATGTTGGTGGCTGAAGCAGACAATTCCCGAATGATGTCTTGTTGTTTGGGAGGCTGGGTGTGTGTATTTTTTTCAGAAAGTATTCTCAAAGTGTGAAATGCACAGAATTATCACCTCCATAGTCTATGTTCTCTTTTGTGCTGGTGTAGGCAATGGCTAAAAGCTCTGACAGCACTAACAGCTCTTTTATGTAACCTGTGAATATTGTGATAACAAACTTGTTCTCCAGTTTCTCTTTACCAAACAGTTGCTGTTACAGGGTTTCTCTGCCTCTTTCCCTCTGAGAATGGTCATAGCAGTTGCCTACAGAAATATTTTAAATGTTAAAGCAAATATTTTTTCTTGTGGAATGATTCTGACTTGATACTAGACATCTTTCTTGATGTTGATATCTTGTTATATTTCCAGCTAATAATGTCACGATTTTCAAACTATCTTAAACTCATTAATGGGACTTGTTTTAAAACAGCTTATTGAAATAAGCAATGGTGATAAATTTCATTAAGTGGTATAGGGAAAAAGAGTGAATGAAACAGGAAAATTCTTAAATTTGAACAGCTTCTTGGAGAAACAGGATCTCTTCCAAGTTCTGTTATGGTGTTGCTTGCATATAGCAATTGCCAATTTGTTTTGCAGTATCCAACATTTTGATCAATCAGTTTCACCAGGGGCAAAGGTATGTCAGGGGTTTGGCAATACTCTAGATGGAGAAAAGCTATAGAGTTTCTAAATGTCTCAACTTGAGAAGGTCCTAGAGAAAAAGAGGTAGCTTTTTCTTCTCCCGTTCAGGGCTTTCTGCAAAAAGTAACAAGTTAGAACTTCATAATAAAGTGATAAACTTCCCGTGTTTTTTGATTTGTAGTGTAAAATATTTTAAAGGAAAGCACCTCACACTTGCATAATAGGTTTATACTAACTACTTGTTGCTGGTGGTTTTCACATATGAAATCTTTTATTTTCTCTTCTTGCCTGTGTAGTTTAAGTAGCGGTAGAATCTATGCGTTGTTATTTTGCATCAAGTTTTGAAAATGGAGGATGAATATTCCCTCAGGAGGAATTTGTTTCAGCTCTTACAGATACACACTGGACAGTGTAGTGAACTATATTATCATTTCATGAAGTCCAGACTGTAATTGAAATCAGGTTGTTTTGTGCCTCTCAGTTCTTGCCAACAGTCACCACACAACTGCAAGAGATCATGGATAAAAGCTCCAGGGCCTAGTGAGCTGGGAATGTCGGAAACACCCTGAAGTTGTAAACCTTTTGCACTGTATCTCATGCTGTTTATCTCATGGAATATGAGAAATATTTACAGTACAGTCTGTCTCTTGTTTAAAAAAGATTTTGTGACCTTTTCAGTTTGGTTAAACTCATTCTAAAAATGAATCTTTTCACAGCATCTGCACCCCCACCTGTGACTCAGCCTTTACCTCCACTCCACCTTCCAAGGCCACCTTTAGGACCCCCTCCAGTTGCGGGTCCTCCTTTGATTAGGCCATCAACACTGACAGCAGCAGCAGCACCACCACCTAGTAGCTCTGTACCACAGTCTCTGCTAAATTCAACTGCAAATAGAGAAGGTAAGCAACATGTTTGCTCACCAACTCTTCTTTCTTGGTCACCATCTCTTCTTACTCATTGTTCTGAAAGGGTATTGAGAAATTTTCACAAAATCACAGAATGGTTGAGGTTGGAGGGGACCTCTAGAGATCATCTAGTCCTGGAGCGTGTGGCACAGGGTGACTTCCAGGTGGGGTTTGAAGATCTCCAGAGAAGGAGACTCCACAACCTCTTTGGGCAGCCTGTTCCAATCTAAAAAATCTAAACTGTGATAACCTCATATTCACCCAGAAACTTGAAATGCTCCTTATTGCCCTATTGTGCCTTATTACTGACTTGGGAAAAGTTTAACTGGGGGTCTTTTCTTTATAGGTGATGCTGCATCTACTGCCAGTGATGGGTCTGTGGTCCAAAATAGCTATGATGCAATAGAAGGCGGTGGCCTCATGGGTAACGTTTCAGGATTAAATAATTTTACCATTACATACCTTTTTTAACAGTTTTGACAAAGATAGAGGTTTAAATATTTACATACGAATGTACATAGTCTGTTCAATTTCTGTCTTGAAAATGAATGTAGAATTTGACACATTATCAAGATTTCTGCAAAATTGATTCCACTAGTCAATTGTTTACACTTTAATAATAATAAAAAAAACCTCTCCCACTATGTCAACAGCATTGATCAAGCTGCAATTTTTCAGGAATTTATTTGAAATATGTCTTCTCTACCTCTAGCAACCACACATCCATCTCCTGCCACCCCAAATGTTAACATGGGTAGAAATGTCGGATATTCGTATCCAAACCTGCCACCAGGCTACCAAAATACTTCACCTGGAGCACCAGGTTTGCAAGCACCTGCTCTACAATACCCAGATGGATCAAAACCTTTCCACCAGGTAAAGTCTTTCTGGTTTAGTCTCTTACTACTCCAGTACCTCACACCAGCCTCCTAAGGCAAGCTGCTGCCCTGGGCTMAAGAAAACTGTGGAAATCTGCATCAGGCTTGTAGGGTTTGCTGTTTGGTGCCTCATTTGTTTAAGAACCGTAGATGGGACCAGAAGTTAATGCTTCCGTTATTACTTTGGTAACAATTTGGAAAGCCTTTTCACCATCTATTTGTGAAATATTCTCTCTGCAGAATATTTCTRTTCTTAAAAACTTCCAGCTGCTTTGAACACATTTTTCTTTCCTCAGGTTACTGTTGTTGTTAACTGAAATGGTTTTCTTTGCTTTTTTTYCCTCCTGAACTTCCAAGGCAAACTGAGAAGCATATTTGTGTTTGAAGGGTTTTAGAGCAAATATATGCTGATATTTACCTCCATTATATTGCAAACCTAAGTCCAAGTTTATGTAGCAAGAAGTATTTATAATTATGCTCTTACAATACAATAACAATACAAAAAAGGGAAATATCTACTTGCTTTTTTGAAGGAATTATGAATTTCATCCAAATCAATATTAACTTCTGAAAATTTGACTTAGCCTCCTTTAGGCCCTAATCACTTAACTGCATCTATGGGCACSCTGAGTCTGCAGCAAGAAGGATTAAGACCTGTGAATCTTCTGCAAGAAAGAAATATTCTTCCTACAACCATCTTGCAGGCTCCTGTGCCAAACTTGCATGAAGACATCCAGAAGCTGAATTGCAATCCTGAGTAAGGCTGTTCATCTGTTACAGTTCATRCGGGAGAGGAGGGAACACCCAAAAGTATAGGTTCCTAATCATAAACATAGTTCTTCACAAAACCCTTTCGGAATTTTGTGGGAGTAGAACACTTTGAACATTGGTTTTGCTCTCTTAAAATAAAGATGGTTAATATTGTAAATATTTTAAATTTTGAAATGAGGAGACTTGAGAAAGCATATTTTTGTGATATTACATAGCTMTAGCTGTTTTTTGTGAAAAGCTTCCTTCTTTCTTAAGGAAGACAGCAAGCTTCATACTWACCCTTTAGAAAAATCTTCCATGAAATATTTTAAGACATTAAGAGATTGTAAAAAGGAGACRATTACTTGTGTATCATAAAATTAATTAACCAGCCATGTTCTACKGCAAATCTTTCGAAAGCATTTCTCTCTGCTTGCCTCTGCTTTTTATCAGAAGTAAAAAACACTAAAAATAGCTTTTTAGGGGGTTAATTAGATAATTCCATCAGTTAAGTGCCTTATTGCTCCTTACAAAACTGTCAGTAGAAGCTCTCTCAGTAATGATCCCTTCTCTGGAGCCAAGATTGAGGCAGTTAGCTGAACTGCTGCTATTATTCCTTTAGATACTGCACATACCTAAATTTAAATTACCTGTTAATTCCATTTTAGATTAAGACCTGTGCTTTCAAGCAACTCTGTCTTCGGTTCTGAAAGGATCCTATAATGGTCCTGTTAGGGTTCTTAACTGCTAAGTATTTTTTTTTTCTAAACCTGTCTCCCAGAAAATTGTATACCTGGAAAAAAAGGAAAAATATTTCATGTGTTGTACCTATTTGTAACTGCCTCGCAAGAGTGTCTTTGTGAAGTTGGCTGTAGAATTGTTTAGAATTTTAATTTCCTGGTAACTTTAAAACAACTTTGTAAACTTTGAAGGTTCAAACTGGCATATAGGGCCATCTGAGAATGGTTTTTCAAGACAAAAGTTAGCATATAAACATTTGATACAATTTTGAGCACTTTCAGGCTTAATTTTGACTTAGCTGACTCATATTTGCATAAACAGCCTGGGTATAAAGTAGCATAGCCAAAGTTTGTAATGTGGGTCGTGTTTGGGCTGAATCAGTGATCTGACAGATCTGGAGAAGATATTTTATCTGGGAAATGGAAATCTGCTGTCAGCAGCTGTAAAAATAACAAGGATGCTGGGTACTATTGAAATCACTATTTTATTACCTGAAAGCCTCTGAAAATTACCTTTTGTCCTCCATGTAGGTTGTTCCGCTGTACCCTGACTAACATTCCTCAAACTCAGGCCTTACTGAATAAAGCCAAGCTTCCTTTGGGACTCCTGCTTCATCCTTTCAAAGACTTATCGGTATGGCAAACTATTGAACAATGTAAATGCTGAAATATGCTGGGGCAGGGGAGGGTTAGTTTTTTGTTGCTGTTCAGAATTGGAAGTAGAGATCTGTCTTAAATACAAAATCAAGTGTCTTGAAAAAGAAATATTTGGAATCAAATCGATTAGAGCTCAGCTCTKATCTTTTGATTGTAAAGATGCCATGTGGATAGAGAAATAAATCTGCATTAATGCTTCCTTCTGAACAAGTGTCCTTCCACTAGGTGACCAGGAAGCAGAGTGTAAATAGTGTTATCATAGTTAAATAATTATCCTGAGTTTACAKTTTTAAATTGGAAACTTGTTTTCCAGCAATTGCCAGTGGTCACTTCAAGCACTATAGTGAGATGCCGTTCCTGCCGGACGTACATTAACCCTTTTGTCAGCTTCCTAGACCAAAGGAGATGGAAATGCAATTTGTGCTATAGAGTGAACGATGGTAAGCTTAAATATACTTAATGGCTTAAATCAGTATGTTAAGGTTAACCTTTTTAACCCKGGCTTTTCATCCTGTAATACTGTTAGAGATGGTTGGTTGTGACGGGGCTGTTATATGTAGAATATTTCCCATGGAGGCAGCAGTCCCTAATGACTCCTAGTGAGGAGTCATTACTAGTGCTAGGTACRAAGCTGCTGCCCTACCTGATATTGTTCTGTAAGAAGTATTATTCAACAGACRCAAAACACTTGATGCATTTGTTTCAAAATTCAGCACAGCCAATGCTAGTGTGAAGTAGTAATACTCATCTACRCTTATCTACATAGTTCCTGAGGAATTCATGTATAATCCTGTGACAAGAGCTTATGGAGAACCTCATAAAAGACCTGAAGTTCAGAATGCTACTATTGAGTTTATGGCTCCGTCTGAATACATGGTAAGATTTTACTTGCTCTCCATCACTCTTTTATTTTGCTTTATTTCTGGAGGCAAGGCAGGAGAAAACAAAGTATTATTGAGGATGCTTTCCAGTCCAGTACAGCAGTTGCTGCCTCAAAGACTGTATCTGAGAAGTCTTGGGAAGATTTTTAGATGAGAATTTTTCATTCCTAAACCAATATAACTTCAAAGTCTTTCCACACTTAGAATACAYAGATATTTGTAGGTCTTTGGGAAGCAAGTCAAACTTCTAGAATTATCTGAGAAGACAGATACTTTAAAAAGTTTTAACGTATCTGTCATCTGCATGTTGTTCTACCAAACACAATTTAATTTTAGTAGAATGAATAAACCCAATCTACTAAATATTGCTTTGAAAATAATAGAAATTTTGTCTTTTCTCAGCTGCGTCCACCTCAGCCACCTGTGTACCTCTTTGTGTTTGATGTCTCTCATAATGCAATAGAGACAGGATACTTGAATACAGTTTGCCAGACATTATTAGACAATCTTGACTTGTAAGTATTTTTTCTTAGCATCTCCTCTATTTTCCKTTTTCTTCAGGAAGTTCATGTTAGATTTTAATGTGCCACTGCTTCCTGTCTAGAAGAAAAATTTCCGTAATGATAGCTGTCAATGACCAATATTGCATAGAAACACGGCCTTCAGCTGTAATCTTTTTCCCCATCGCATGTGAACGAAGAAATGCTAATTTTAAGTCAAGTTTTCCAGTCTGGCTCTTCTCTGCCAGGTTTCCATGTACCKGAAAAACGTCATATTTATGAAGTCTTTTGACCTCGGGTTTTTTTTAAAGGTGACATTTAGATGTGTTCTTTTCAGTAAATACTTATCTAACTTACTTTACATAAATGCTAAGTGAAAGTATAAATGCTACTTGATCTGTTGTAGATTTTTTTCTTTCTTTGTTGGGGTTGTGTAAATCTTGAGAGGTCTATATCCAGTAGAGCTGTGTCTAACTTTCTACTTGACTTTTTTTTTAAAGATAGCTAAAAGTTATTTCAAATTCTTGCTGTGGGATTCTCACGTTCCTCAGCCATTTCTGAAGAGGATGTTAAAYTGGACTTCTAGTGGGACTTTTAATTAAGTCTTAGCCGTTCAGGACTAAGTAGTATAAAGCATTTTTCAGTGGAGCATCTTTTTTCTTCAGAGCTTTGCGTAGCTGTCTTGTAATATATTTCTAGCTAAATCTTCTCTACAGAGTCATGTTGTAGGATAAGATTTTCATTTAAAAGAAAAAACCTTAAAAATTGCAAACATATGTTGCTGGTCTGGAGACATTTTGTTCTTTCTAAATATTATTAGTCCATTTCTTCCTATCCTTCTTTAGAAAATATTTTTGCACTTCCACTAGGTAATTCTAATATGAGCTCTATTTGTTTTTTTTCCTCTCCAAAATTACTTAGTCAAGCTGTTGCAAAAAATATAACTGTTAATCKAGCTACATGCTAACAAATTTGGACAGGTGCGGTGGATTTTTTTGCTTAGAAAAAGTCTGCAGAAATGAAATTTCATCTTGCTGAACACCATATGTCTGATTTTTAGGCTTCCTGGGAACACTAGAACAAAAATAGGCTTCATAACATTTGACAGCACAATCCATTTCTACAGTCTGCAGGAAGGTCTCTCGCAGCCTCAGATGCTCATAGTTTCAGATATTGAAGGTATGCAGAAATGACTTTTGTGTTTAACATCTATTAACAGCTAATGATTTTGACACCATTTAAAAAATGTATACTGGAAGTTTGTTGATCATGTCACTAGTCTTACTAGTAATGGCTTTAGCTGTAGCCTATATTTGGGATTTTTCCTAGAGCCACTGCAAGATGAGCAAGGCTTAAAAAAAGAATCCCAAAACTTTCATGCATGTGATAGTTGTGACTTGAAACATGACATCAGCCTTCCTGACTTTAATTTATAGTTATCTAAACTTTTTTTAATGTGAATTAGAGTATTCATGTTCAGTAAATTGCTTATTCTTCTGTCACTGGTTTCAAGTCACCTTTCCCTATATAATATCAGGCCAAGGTAGAATGAATTTGGTAAGGTCTTCCCTATGTCTTTAAGTACTTTATTAACATTTTGATTTTTATTCTAAGATAGTTTTCTAGCCACAGCTGTGGTTAGGATGAGAGGGGGAAGAAAACCCAAGCACTCCATATAATCTGYTTGAAGGGGTGAACACATGATTTGTGGGGGGATGCCAGTAGGGATGGCTTTCAGCAAATAAAATTGGGGAAAGTCTGATATGATTTTTTTTTTATTTAAGATAATTTAAACATTTTTGTTCTTCCAGATGTGTTTATACCAATGCCAGAAAACTTACTAGTAAATTTAAATGAAAACAGAGAGGTAAGAACTGTCTTCMATAACATACGATATTCATACAGTATGCTAGGTAATTTGTGGATGACTTAATGGTCTTTAATACTTCTGTCAAAAATACCCAGTTTGCAAGAAATAAATGTCCTTTTTTTGTATTTGACTTTAAAACAATTTTGTTTTGTTTCAGACTGGTAAATATTGACTTTAGCAAGGATTTAGCAAGGGCATCTGTTTGTATGTTCCGCAATCAGCTCTATAAAGAGGAAGACTTCTGATTTTGACTCAATGTTGTGTTTTTAATTGTAGCTAATTCAAGATCTGCTGAAGACCCTGCCACAGATGTTTACCAAGTCCCTGGAAACGCAGAGTGCTCTCGGGCCTGCCTTACAGGCTGCTTTTAAACTCATGTCTCCAACTGGTGGTAGAATCTCTGTCTTCCAGACCCAACTCCCATCTCTGGGAATGGGAGCGCTAAAATCACGAGAAGAGCCAAACCAAAGATCAAATGCMAAGGTTAGAAAAGAACTTGTTTGAGAAGTGGCTACCCTGTTGCAGATGTGTGTATGTGGCTCAGGAATTGCTTGTTTTAAGTGCATATAGTGGTTATCTTGTTGAGCTAATGTTCTTTTGTTATAAAGTAGAAAGACTGGAAAAAAAAAAAAACCAAACTATAAGTTCAGAATAATGATTTTTTGGGGAGATGTTATCACTGAAATCAGGGAGGCCGAATCAATTCTTTCTGTCTCTGAAAATGGGCAGTTAATGTTTTAATCTGTTTAGATTTGCCTCTCCTTTGTGTTAACAGGACATACATCTGACCCCATCAACTGATTTTTACAAGAAGTTAGCCCTGGACTGCTCCGGGCAGCAGGTTGCAGTGGATTTGTTTCTTCTTAGTGGGCAGTATTCTGACTTGGCTTCTTTAGGTAAGTCATATAAAGATTTTTGTAGTTAGTAGCTTTTACATTTGACAAATACATAGAGCCTATATTAACACAGGAACCTGATTTGAATAAATGTAGTATGCCAAGTTGTGAAATCATCCTTAGTGAGCAGAAGCACTGTGAACAGAATGCAGTCTTTAAGTTTTTCCTGATTTAGCATAACTATTTTCATATTTTCCCCTATTCAGTGAGTCAGGAGATCCTTGTGACCATGGTATAAGCTTCTGGAAATACTTTTTTTCCCTGTATTTTAACCATCAGTGTGACTATCTTTAGAGTAATTGTCAATAGTATTTTAGTTATTTTTCTCTCAGTTTAAGTAAACTTTTGAGTGGCATTGGCATAACACCTTTCTTCAGACTAATGGAAAAAATGTTTTGCACCTGATAAGCTACAAATGTATTTGTATATACAGCTGTATTACATCTATGTTTCTGTATGCAGGCCTATGTAACAGAGGTATTTGCAGGTGTGAAGAGAGCTTACAGGGAATATTAGATTCAGTTGATAAAACTGGGTTCTTTAAAGACCACAGCAGCAACTGTCTGTCTCTGCCACTGTATATTGTTTCTGTTTCAGGCTGCATATCAAGGTATTCTGCAGGTAGTGTCTATTACTACCAGTCATATCACCATAAACACAATCCTGTCCAGGTGGAGAAATTACAGAAGGAGCTAAAACGATATTTGACCAGAAAGATTGGTTTTGAGGCTGTCATGAGGATAAGATGCACCAAAGGTTTGACCACTTTCTTGTTGTTTGAAAATACTTCATTGGTATTTTGACTTTACATATGCTTAAATGGTTAGAAGATAAGTGTTAGAAGTATTAAAACTCCGCAGGAAGAATCAAACCTTTGTGGATCCTTTAGTTGTTTTTTTGGGATATTTCTTTCCTTGAAGATGCTTTATTTCATTGAGAAGAATCTTAATATTCTTGAATTCAGTGAATGTAGATGTGTAAGTAGTTAAATGGAAACTAAAGACACCATAGCAATAAAACAATGAAATGTGTTTTTTATTATCTTGTAGGTCTTTCCATTCACACCTTCCATGGGAACTTCTTTGTGCGATCTACAGACTTGTTGTCATTGCCTAATGTAAATCCAGATGCAGGATATGCTGTGCAAATGGCTGTAGAAGAGAGTCTTTCTGACATGCARGTAGTTTCTTTTCAGTCAGCCCTGCTGTATACATCCAGCAAAGGTAAGATTTGCAAGCAAGGTTAGCTAAAATAATGGTGTGGAATTTAGGAGTGTTTTGTGTGTGATCATAAGCTGCAGTTCAGTGATAATTACATCAATATTTTCTATGTAAGGTCGAGATCAGATCTGTGGTGTTTTACTGCATGTGGTTGATGTTACTGCTTCCTCCCAAGCCATATGTTTCTTGGGAACCTTACTGTGGTCTGCAAATGAGCAAGCTTAACTAAAATCCCAAAAGTAATTCATTAACAGCTACTGTCAACATTTGGGTTCACCACTTGTTTGATGAAATCAGATTAAATTTCGATTTTTTTTTTTTTGCTTGTTTAGTGAGTTGATCYGTGTTTCAGTTACTGAAGTAATTCCAATGCTTCAGTAATTACTGAAGTAATTCCAATTGAAGTGTACAGTGATGTTCCCTGAATCACTCCATAAAAAGAAAGCGGTGTTTGACAAGACCGTTTTCTTGACTCATAGGCGAAAGAAGAATCCGTGTCCACACCATGTGCTTGCCTGTTGTAGCAACGCTGAGTGATGTTTACCTGGGGGCAGATGTACAGGCTATCACTGGGCTCTTGGCCAACATGGGTAAGCATGATAAGAGCTCGTTGTTGAAGGGTTCTGYGGGTGCATGCCCAAAGCTTGGAGTAGTAGCTCTCTGGGAAGCAGGAGGAACAATCCCCTTGTCACAAAGGACTTCAGTTGTGAACTTCATGGCTTTTTGATTCTTAAGTAAGATATCAGCCTTAGCTGTGTGTTAGATCCAGAATAAACTTGATTTATGACCTTAATCTTGTACATCACCATGCTTTTGTGGCTACTGTAGCAAACAGGGCCTATAGCTTTTCTAAATAACTTACCTTGACTTGTTCTGTAATGTAGCATCTTACCAACATGTGCTTCTACGCATCTTAAAATGAGGAAAAAAAATACATATGTGCCTGAATTCTGACCAAAGAGAGAAAAGCCACTTATTTAAGCTTCGTTCTCTCCCTTTAGCTGTGGACCGATCAGTTTCTGCTAGCTTGAGTGATGCTCGTGATGCCCTGGTCAACGCGGTGATAGACTCCTTAGCTGCCTATCGTTCCTCAGTCCTGAGTATTCAGCAGCCTGGGCTCATGGCCCCCCGCTCACTACGGCTCTTTCCACTTTATGTGCTGGCTCTCTTAAAACAGGTGAGAAATAAAAGCAAGCCACGCAAGAGGAGGATTGATTGTGCTTCACATGTCAGTGAGAAGTAAAATTGTACTGCTTTGAGGCATGGAATAGCATCTGTCATCTCAATTCTGAGTCTTACTAAAATGCAGAAAGAGAAGTTGCTTGATTTGGATTAATTTAAACAAAACAAAAACCTTCTTGCTGTTTGGTACTAGGATATTGAAATTTTTCACCAACTTGAGACTGGTTCTCTTTTCATAAGCAGAGTTCTTGGGAGATAACAACTCTTTTTCTGCTCTCTCTGAATTTGGTAACTGAAAGGCCYGTGTAGAACAAAGCCTATCTAATTGTATTAGGCCCAAGTGGATATTATATATGTTGTTGACAGACAGAAGTGAACAGTCGCTATATGGGTTTGTCATTTGATGAAAAAGGAAGGGACTTGGAGAATTTTTTGAAGCAAATATATCGGAGTAATGAAAAGGGCTTCTGTTCTTGCCTGCAAAAGGAATCAGATTGGGATAGTGAGTATATTAAAGAATATTGCGGTGGTGAATGATTTAGTTTAGAAGCCTGTGTAAGAGCAAGAGGATAAATGACCCTGTAAGCGTTTGATCCAGGCAGAGGTGGGGCTCTTTCAGTTATAGCTCAGAATTTTTCAGTTGCAACAAGTTTGGGATCTGGATTTGCAGATTATTGCAAGTCCTGTAAGGTTCAACACACTTAAGCCAATGGCAAAGCCTTGTAACATTTGTTCTTTAATGAAGAACTGGATTTGAGGTTTGTTATAAAAGCTTTCATCTCAGCTATAGTGATCTCACTAGAAAAGATTACTGCTGCATTAATAGTTTGYCTGGGTCATGGATGGTTGCAGAAACAGAAATGGGAATAATGAGACTTGCATGCAAGTAGTATGTGAAACATGCTGAGGACAGCCATGGAGAAGTAAAATAGCAGCAGTAAAGCACTATATTTTGAAATAATAGTTATGGCAGCACTCTGACATAAGTAAATTGGAAATAAGCAATAAGGGGCGTGTTAAGYTAAACTGTTTCTTGAATGCAGTTTAAAACTTTTTTTTAACTGATGAAACACTCAATTATTTGCAGAAAGCATTCCAAGCTGGGACAAGTGCACGTTTAGATGAACGCATTTTTACCATGTGTCAAGTTAAGAACCAGCCCCTTGTTTACCTCATGCTTATGACTCATCCCAACCTGTACAGAGTTGATAACCTCTCAGATGAGGTGAGTTCTCATATTATTGCAGGACTTGTTTGCTTTCGGTTCCACCAATGCATGACGTGAAAATTTGTGTTTAAAAACCTCAGGAAAGTTTTCCATGTTAAAGCTATGCAGCTAAGAATTGCTGGTCTATATCTTCCCATCTGGAGCACTTTGGCATTTTGTTCTTTGGGATTGGACTGGTGGATTCTGGAGTGAGAGTGTGATGGTGGATGAGGGCGTATTTTTTTTTAATTTTGTTTCACTTTTGCTCTGTCACTGTCTTGCACAATAAATCACGTGCAGTTTAAGACAACGTTTCACTAGAGATTTTACCTTTTTATCCTTGTATAGTTTCCTTATATTAAAATGTCAAAGTAGTTTTGTGACTCATGTAAGAAAGATAACAGAGCAATCTGAATGATTTTGGAAGTCTCAACTTCTAAAACTGGAGCATCATATATGATATCTACAGAAGTGATCAACAAAGATAAAGTTGATGCTTTCAGTACACCTCTAAATAAAAAATTCAAATGTATAATGCTGTAGGGTATATAAATGAATTATAACTTGAACCTAGTTGAAGGAAAATCAATCTGTTTTTGTATTTTGTGGCTTTAAATTTGGTAAGGTGTGAAATGTGCTTTTTTTTTTTTCCCCCTTTAGGGAGCTCTTAACATAAATGATAAAACTATACCACAGCCACCCATTCTGCAACTGTCTGTGGAAAAGCTGAGTAGGGATGGTGCTTATCTTATGGATGCTGGCTCTGTAAGTTTTATGGTGGTGAAAATTATATATATTTGTGACAGATTCTGAGAACTCAAATTGTATAGAAGGCTACAGTTTTGCATTATTTTAATGTTGTTGTTATTGGATATCTTTCAGGTCATGTACCTGTGGGTTGGAAAGAACTGTGGGCAGAACTTTATCAGCCAAGTCCTTGGAGTTCCAAACTATGGCTCAGTTCCTCAAAATATGGTACGTGCCTGCTTTGTTATATACCAGTCGCACAGTGACTATTATCTTTTATCTGAACTAAAATACCACTATTCAAATATTGACTCTGTAGTTACAGTTCATTATAAATCCAGCTTCAGGAAACAAATTAGTTTCTTTTGCTTCTCTCTTGGCCAGAACTTTACTGTAGATCTTACTGTGAAAATGCACTAGGAGGCTGATGATGAATTTCTCAGGGCTGAAAATTCTAATGAATTTTCTCAGTTTTTTCAGGAGAAACCTGGGAATACTTGAGATAGGCAGCACAGTAGATCAATGGGAAAGTCCTTTGGTTTCATGATAAAACAAGCATTTACCACAGCTTGGTCCTCACCATTCTGAGAGGCAGTTGCTGCTACTAGCTCAGTGCATTGGATAGTTTCAAGCCTTTCTGAAGGAAACTGGAATAAAACTATTTGATTCATCACAGAGCTCATCTGTCTGAGGTTTCCTTATACCCAATGAGGATAGAGCTTGACTTATATTTAGTGTCCTATCTATTATTCCTCTGGGGAGAGGGGAGATGGAGAGTTCTTGTATGTGTTAATAATACACTTTGCGTCTTAGACACATCTCCCAGAACTTGAAACTGCAGAATCCATCAGAACAACGACTTTCATCGCTTGGCTKAGAGAACAGAGACCCTTCTTTCCTATACTGTATATAGTAAAGTAAGTGTTGGGCTGTTCCCTTTTATAACTGCTCGTGTGCTTCTTCAGGGACCTCTTAGAAGGCATATTTGGGGATTATATATTACACTGTACTCTCTTCAGACRAGTTTTAACACCGCTGCATGTTGTGCCTAAAGTTTAGCAGCAGATATGACTTGTCATCAGTAGGTCCCATTAGTCTTGATCTGCGAAAATCCCAGATATCTCAGAGCAGTATTTAGCAAACATTGGTTAAGTGAAAAAATACCAGTGGCTATTGCTTGGGATTGATCACAAGAGCTGAGATTCTCTTTCTATGTCCTCAAGCTGCTTTTGAAGCATCTTGCAACTGACCTGTAAGTGCATTGCATGATAAATTTTGGTGAATATTTGTTTTGTTAAATCACTTATTTTCATTTTGAAGGGATGAGAGTCCATTGAAATCAAGTTTCCTGCAAAATATGATTGAAGACAGAACAGAATCAGCCTTATCATACTATGAGTTCCTCCTGCATATACAGCAGCAAGTGAATAAGTGAAATGCTAACCTTTGGCTCACTTGCTTAAGAAAAGATTTCGTGGTAAAGAACACTTGTGCTTGTAATATCTTCATTCAGTCTGTGGCCTGAGGCAGTTGATGAGAAGATCTCACTGTGATTTCAACGAACTAAAGCAAATAAAGGACCACATCTGAAAATCAAATGTGCAACTATGTAATATTGTACCTTAAAATCAAAATATTGGAACTGGTTGAGCACCTTTAATTTGCTGCAAATTATGTTTTTACTGTAAGTAGTTGCAGCATGAAGTACATTTACAAAGGCAATATTGCAAAGGTAAAATACATTTTGTAAAATAAAGAGTTTTGTTGTTCAAAATGTATATTTCTGTAACTCTTTGCTTTTTTTTCTTTTTGCTGCTAGATATAAAAACCTCACAATACTGATTATGGTTTGCAGGGAAAAATCTTTATTCAGTGCATCCAGTGATTAGAGTCAGAGCATCYTAATGTTCAACTTGAAGTGCTTAAAGTAGCAATGAAACAACTGTTCATTGTGAAAGGAACAAATGCTTTATGAAACTTAAAATCCAGAGTTTGGAATGGATTATGACTAATAGGATTAAAGGTAAGCTTAAACCGGATAAGATGACTGAATTTGTTGGACTTTTAAACACATCAGTATTGCAGTTGAAAGTGGGGGTTAGGGGGAGCAGACTCTATATGGGATGTATTTTAAAAGTGAGTAGCCAAGTCAGCAGCAAAAGTTGATGTAAATGGATAGCAAGCTCTATTTTTCCTCAGTAAAATGATTGGAGTGATAATTTCAGTTTGCAAATGGTGTGGGAGGACAAGGAAGGGCATCCCAGATTTTTTTATTCTTTTTAGTCGGTAGACTTTTGGCCCTTCTTTACATTAACTGAATGTTAAGCCCTAAAAACTTGCTGTGCTTATGAAATGAGTTCATCTGACAGCACTTAATGCTTTTAAACAACATTGAATACTTGACACAAAAAAATTGGAAAATGAATTATTTTTCTAGAGAGAAATATCATGTTGTATTTGGAGGACTGCTTCTAGTTGGAGGCACACTTAAAGTTCTCCAAAATCCCCTTTTTTTTCCCCTGTAGCTGTAGTGAGCCTAGGTCCAGAGCCAGTATGCACCAGATAAAAGCTTTAAATGTACTCTCAGATCCCTGCCAGTGCTAAGACTGAAGTGGACATTGGGCTTAAGTGAATTTTTTTTTTTTTGTGCAAAAATATTTAGAGCATTTTATAAGAGTGTATTGATAATTCCATTTTGGAAATAAAGCTGTCATTGATGGCTAGCAACATAAAGAGTACTTTAAGTTATTGTATCTGTACGCCTGTGGAAGAGCTTCATACAGAAAAATCATGTTTTGCTTTTAGCTTAATGGTGATGAGATTAATTATAGGTCTTGCAAAATCTTTCGGAGATAAGTAACTAACAGGCAGATATTTATAAATAAGTGGGCAAGTATGTACTRTAAGTAGGCTAGGTAACTCGTGCAGGTTTTGTGGTATGAGCATCTCAGACGCAGGACCTGAGAGTGCCGTTATTTGCTGTGGCTTGGGGCTCCAGCTGTGYGTGTTGTCAGCAGTTGCCTTACCTGAGGGGAGAAGTGTTTGGAGAAGCAGCTTGGGGYACAAGATGCTCATGTTCAGAACRGTGTCTAGAAAGGCACAAAAAGGCTGTTCTAGAGGCAATSCAAGCCCCTCTGGCTGCTGTCTCCCTGCCAAGTGGAGTGCACTTGGATGGCTTTTCAGAGAATTGCACATTTTCTAGTTGAAGTGCAGAAATTTTAAGTTTGACAGTGTAGTCTTTTCCAATGGGAAGGGCCTCTTCATCTATATCATAAAGGAAAACTATGCACTTGCATAGGTTATCGCTTACGCTTTTGAGGCATGTTAKCACTTAGACACTAGAAACCATTCTTGTGTCTAACAGCCCACTCAGTGTCTGTTTCTTGCCATCACTATATTTTACTATTATATTCCTTAAAATATTTTTTTAAAAGAAGTCGGAGGTGGCTTCATTGCTTTTGGTACACCAGCYGAGTGGCTGTGGATGTCAGTCTGTCTGGCAATTGACGGCTTTGAATTAGGGTCCCTAATTTGCAGAGCAAGAATCAGAGAAACTATCTTGGAATAAAACCCTTCACCTTGGACAAAATTCTGTATCAAACTTGGCTAGTACATTCATTTGTGGTGGGAAAAGCCTGAGAGTTTCACTGGTGTTGCTGTAAGGGCAGCACAAGACAGACAAATGTGTGAACTATCTATGATGTGTCCTTTTTTAACCAACAACTGAAAAAATGAGGATACGGAAAATGAACTGCAAAACCTGGCGAGAGTTGCTCTGATGCGTCGATCTTGGTACAGCAACTCTACCACTGCAAATGTGCTCTATTTTTCTAGTTGAAGACTTTTTAAATATATCTATATTTGACGCATTAACATTCAACTGACACTGTTACCATCCATTTTACTTTGCTGTCATTATCTTTTTTAATTTAATATATTTGAGTCTGAGTCATATAGACTGTTTTGCAATAACTAAAATGATTCACACTTTCACATTTCTTTTATTTAGAATTAACTTCTTATCAGAATTTAATCAAAGATGCAGAATGGCTGTTATATAAGGGACCATTAAATGTGATTTTAAGGTTCTGTTTACTATTATGGATGTAATCCTTATAGTAAATTTAATTTTGTAAAGTAGTGTATAATATTGTAATATTAAATCTTTGTTTTCTGAACTCGGACATTTGATCTTCAGTATGAAGTTATAAATTTCCCCCTTCTGAATCTGAGACAGGATTTACTTGTCCTCCTTTTTACAGTTTGTAATTTTCACTGTTTTATTCCTGTAAAAAGTCATTTGTAACACATGCAAATGCTTATTTTATCTGTGCTAATTTATCAAATTTGGCTACTCAATAAAATTAATTGAAAGAACTCATGGAAGTCCATCAGTCCTTTCTTCCGAATAAAAAGAGGATCCTGTATTTGATCATCAAGATAAACAGTATGTATGACAAAGTGACAAATTTCTTTTAGCTAAAACTTGGTATTTAGATGATACAAACTGAGAGGAAGCTTCAGGGAAAGCGGTTCTAGTTGATCCAAACTTTCTTTTTGTTACTGACATTTTTTTGTTCCTCCAGAGCATCCCTGTCACTCAGCATCATTATTTGCTCCTYTTTGAGGTTTGTTCTTTCAGTAAGCCCATACTGCTGCAGTCCTCCATACGTGGTTCCCTGCTGTCTGGTTTGACGGTGGTCTCAAGCAAGTGGGCGTTGGAACGAATTTAACCTGTCTTCAGCATTGTTCCCAAGTTGGTAATTAATTTTATTGTAGGTAACATATCTTCACTTAACATCCTGTTCTCCAACACTTGCCTTTTTTTAAGGGTCACTCCATCTTATGCTTGACAATTTCTTTAAGAGCTCTCATCGCTGCTGCTTCTGGTTCATGATATATTACAGTTAACCCATGAGCTTGGTACTTTGACCTCTGTGTATAACAGTTCTTGAATATAGAATTCTATCAAGTTCTCAAGATCACATAGTATCTTAGAAATATTCGTGATTTTTGACTTGTCAGCTCTAGCTTTTGCATCAGTGCTGTTGATTTCAAAACCAGCACATGGTCCTCTTATCCTTGGATTTCCAGTGACTGCTACGGCTCGTGCAGCCAAGTGCTGCTTCCAGCTGAAGTGTCCAGACTGAGCTGAGGAGTGTCACTTGTCACGGGTGTTGGAGGCAATTACCTTGCAGTATTGACAGAAAGGATCTACATGCTGCTGTCTTCAAATTTGGTTTAGTTTTGGTTAAGTTTGACAAGTTACACAAACAACTGCACATTAGCTATGTGAATATTTGACTAAGGGATGATAGTATGGGCCAGTTTTATCACTTTTTGTCTGACAAGTAGAAGTGTGATGGGCTTTACGTACATAAATAGGTGCGTTGTTATGCCAGGTGTATCTGAAGAGACCGTAAAAGGTTCCATTTTGTAACTTCTAGGGTAATTGGGGTAAATAGGGTCCTTGGCCGGTTCTTTTTTTCTCCTGCTCCTCCTCCTGTGTATATTCAATCCCTGCAGCTTCCTACTGTACTAACAGCAATGCAGTGACAATATAGGAGGGTGTTCCCTGGAAATACGATTTGGGAAGCTTATCTATGCAGCACAATAGCCTCCCGCATGGGATTTTCCTTCCCTGTGTGTCCCTTTTATGTAAATGCAAAAGCGACTGCTTGCAAGCCTGCCCATAAAAGTGTATTTTTCCCTCAGTTTGTCACAGCTGGCTCTAGTGTAATATCTTCCTAAATGCAGATATAAGCAGCCCTTGGAGCTCTTGCCAGCAGAAAGGCTCCATGATAGGATTGCAGGAATGCTTCACCGTGCCAGGAATTAAATAGCAGCTCCTGAAAGTGCTGCAGCCTGGTGCATAAACCTGATGCTCTGAGATTTTAGCTTCTTCATTTCTAGTACTAGCTTGTTCCTGGTCAGAAACAGGTGCCATCCTTTATTCTAATGCCTGGAAGCTTTCTACACAATGCTGCTTTCTCACAGCTGTTCACTACTAAAAATGTTATTTTGCTGCAATGTTTGTAGTGCCCTGTTAAACAGCCTTTCCTGGATGTGCTTTGGGCTGCAGCTGGTGGAAGGAGAGGGGGATTTGCTGGGTTTACCTGGTGGAATTGTTGCTGAGGGAAGCTGGGATTTTGAATTATCTTATAAATTACTAGAGAAGTGGGTAAAAAATGTGTTTGGTTGTTGCTACTGCTYGAGTCAGCCACTGTCCTGTTGATTTGCTCCCACTCCCCCAATCCTTTTTTTCCTGTGGGCCTGCAGAAAAAGTCCATCCTGACTGACAGCACTAGGGATTATTTGTGTGGGGAAAAGTGGGGACGTCTCTTATCTTTCTGCTTTATAACATATATATTTTTTCGATATAAAATGCCCCCACGCTGGCTTTCTGCCGTCTTTTCCTGGGACGGAGCAGGGTGGTGCTGGACCCTCAGGTTTCGTTCCCCGCTGAGGTAATCTCGGCGCCATCACGGCCCCTCGGCACCTYCCTGAGGGCGCCGTCTCGCTCCGCTGCCCGCAGCCGCCATTTCCGAGGTCGCGGCGGCCATTTTTAGTGCGGGCACCGCTGGGGGCGCCCTAAGGGTGAGGCCGCGAGCGAGCGGCGCTCTCCGCGCTTCCCCTGCCCTMACGCAAGATGGCGCCGCTGGCTTCAGCGGCAGAGGCGGCGCCTGCGCAGTGCGGCTGAGCGGCGCGCATTGTGCGGGGCGGCGGCGGCGCCATGGAGCCGCCGGCCGCCATGGAGGGCGGCGGGGCGGGAACGGCGGCGGCGGCCGGGGGAGGCGCGGGGCTCTCGGCCTCGCAGCGCCGCGCCGAGCTGCGGCGGAGGAAGCTGCTGATGAACTCGGAGGAGCGGCTCAACCGCATCATGGGCTTCCACCGGGCGGCGGYGGGCAAGGGTGAGCGGGCGCGCGGGGCCCTTCCCTGAGGCGGGAACCTCTGCGCGACCCCCGCGCTCGTAGCGGCTCCTGTGGTGCCCGAGGGGCCCGGCCGAGGCCCCCGCGCTGCCCTCGGGAGGGGTTCGGCCAAGATCCGGGCGGCCCCGGGGCCGCCGAGCGCCTGCCCGGCCCGGGGCCGGCGCCTCCGCGTGCCGTGAGCGGGGCCCGGGGCCCGGGGCTGGGGCCGTCATCCCCGCCGCGTGAGGCGGGGCCCTCGGGGTGCCCGCCGGGCTGCTCTGCCTGCAGAGACAGCGGCAGGAAGAAGCCARCGCCGGCTTACCCCATTGCCTGTGCACTTGTCGATCATTAATGCACCTTTGGACGGATTCGTYTTTTGTATTTTTTTTYYTTTTTTTTTAATTTTGCTCCTCACATTTGGAACAGCAGCTTTTTTATTTTTGGTCAGCCATGCTATCTTGCTGCTGTTTTGTTGCCAGAGTATACCCAATATTTCAGTTTCCCTGTTCCTGATGGATGGTTTTGGCTCTTGGCCTAACGCGTCTCCAGCACCCGCTCCATCCATCCCCGTGTCCCATGCGGCAGAGCCTACAGCACGTGCAGAGCCTCAGGGCCTTTCCTAAGCAGGGGATGGGGAGCTTAATGCATAGCTGTGGTGATGATGCTGAATATTTGCACACGTGCTTTTCTGTGCCTTTCTTGCACGTCATTGTGAACTATGGTGTAATCTAAGGCTGAATATAAATCTTTCTTTGGCATGTTATGCCATCTGCTGAGTCCTCTTTCTATAAAATGGGATTTTTCGTATTCAGCTATCCTAAATGGCTTTGTGATTGATACCTGGCGTCCTTATTAATAATAAATRTGTGCTTTCACTTTGGAAATCATCAACCCAAAACCCCAGTGCTCAAAGGTTGTTCTGAGTATCCAGCGCGCTTAACTCTGTATTTCTGTTTCTCTTCCTTAGATGAAGAAAGTCACCCAGAATCGAAGCTTCAGCACGAACAAGATAAATCCAACTCCCATCCTGTTCCTTCAGTGTCCAAGCGAATTGTGCTCGGCGATTCTGTCTGCAGCTTATCGGGAACGGCCGACCACTCAAGCAGCATCACAGACCTCCAAGGGGAGAAGAAGGACTTGTTCAGTAAGAGTGCAGAGCTCTCCTCCCTCAGCGAGGGCCCGGGCGAGCTCCGCCACCGTAACAGAGGGGAACTGTCATCAGAAGCTGCGCCCCGGCCTCCTAGACATGGATTAGAGCAATATTTATCCAGATTCGATGAAGCTCTGAAGCTGAGGAACCAGCTAATGAGTGAGAAGCCGAGCCAAGAGAACGGGAATGCAGTGGAGGARTTTGATTCTTTCCGCATTTTTAGATTAGTGGGATGCGCTCTGCTTGCCATTGCAGTCAGGGCTTTTGTGTGCAAGTACTTGGTGAGTTCAGGGAAACCAACAGTCCCTTTCTGTTTTGCTACTCAGAACTCTGTTCTTTGTGAAATACTGCTCTTTTTAGGGTTGAGCTCTATAGATAGTGGTTAGGTGAGTTGGGAACTTCAAGCACTCTATCCATCTCCTACAACTATATAAAAGTTAAAAACCTCTAATGCTTTTTGAGGTGATAATCATCTCTGAATCTGCATTATGTATTTAATGTGGCCCCCATTTAGCCCTTTGAGTAGCACACGTTTGTCCACAGCATAGTATTTGTGCAAGTGCACTGCAAATCTGTTCACATTCTTGTGGACATTTAGACAACTGCTTTTGTAGCTTGGAACCTACAAACGAGTAATAGAGTAACCCAGCAGCAGTCTCAAGATGAGTGGCCCCTACTTATTTATCAGTCTTCTGAGAAAACAAGTTCCCTAATATTCCAGGTGTCTGTACCTCTAAATAATGCATACATTGCATACACTCTATAGAGGAAYGTGACTGGTGCAGCCTGCCACCTCCTGGACCACAGTGTTCAGTCCCACACCATGYACCATGGTCGTGGAATTTCAGACATAGACTCAAAGAACACAAGGTAGAACCCTATTCCTGACATACAGCTTGTCTAGTTGGGTTTGTAGTATTCAAGATTGGTGCTGTTATTGTCCATAAATTATTTTTTACTTACCTAATTTTCATTCATTGTTTTGAAAGCATTAAATTCCTGTGTTTTCTTAGTTATTCCTTCAGACCAAGCTAATTTTCATATGTACTTTCTTATCCTTGCAGTCAATATTTGCACCATTTCTTACTCTACAACTTGCCTACATGGGACTGTCCAAGTACTTTCCAAAGGTAAAATAATATTTCAAAATTAGATGATTTTAAAATGCTTTAATTTAAAACTTTGGCTTAGATTGTATTATTTTATGACCAGTGCACGTGCAGGGTTCTTCTTTGGTTTTGAACTGTGGAATTGAGAGCTCTCAAATGCTATTAGTTAATACTAACTAGCAAAAGAATTGTTAGTCTTCCCAGATTTAGTCCAGAGCTTAAAGTTGCTGTGGAAATGGGGACTAGCAGTTTAGCTGTAGCCTAATGGGCCTCATCTGCCCAGGAAAGCCAGGTAGCTCCTGTGTGTCTTTGGGAAGCTCTGGCCTTTCCTCCCGGGCGGAATGTTCCTGCCGTTCCTGTTGTTGGCTCTGTTGACAGCCATGGTGTGTGTGATGTCTGAACAAAATATTTTCTGTAGTTACAAAATGAGACAGTCTCTGGCACTTCAGGGCTGTGTATTAAATTGCTAACATGGGTTTGAATGAAGACTTGAAGACTTGAAATGAGACACGTGAAACTTCTTACCAGCAAAATTTCTGTATTACTTTATTTACACCAGTTAATTCTACTGAAGTTGTTTTTTTAGTTGATGATTTTGTCTGGTCCATGTTGTAAAGCAAGTGATGCTCAATCCGTAGTTGAAGGAAAACATTTGCATTTTAAAGGGAATAATAGATGAACTGTAGAAAATCAGAGTAAATGAGTAGTTGTTCTTTTCTAGTTAAGTATGTAATTGAAAACTGAATTTCATAGCAGCCATTCTAAGATGATGTGTCAAGACACAGCACAATAGAATTAGCTCTTCTGCTGGATCTTTTGATCTCTGATTTCTGCTGTTTTTAAAACCAGCTATTCAGTTTTAGAATTTAAAGAGGTGATTTCTTTCCACAGCTTGTTTTYCCCACAGTTACATCCAGCTGAGCTCAGTCAGCTTCATTATTCTCTCACCAGACCTAGGAAGATTCTTGAATGCTTAATATAGACTGGATTAAATTAAGATATCCAGCAAATATTCTCAAATTACTGAAACTTTGAACTGCTTTCCAAAGTCTTGTTTGCCTCCCAGCCAGATTTCTTTGCATCCTTGGGATGGGTTGTGAATCCTGGAGAGAATTGGTCCAAACTTGCTCCACTTACCTGTGGTTTTGGAATGTGGGTGAAAGTGGCACAACATAGTGCAGTGTGTAAAGCAGAACTGCCTTGTAAGGGAAGAACTAATTTTTTTTTTCTTTTAGTGTGAAAAGAAGGTGAAAACGACAGTACTAACTGCTGCTCTCTTGCTGTCTGGAATCCCTGCGGAAGTGATTAGTCGTTCCATGGACACCTACAGCAAAATGGGAGATGTTTTCACAGACCTTTGTGTCTATTTCTTTACTTTTATCTTCTGCCATGAACTTTCTCTGTTTTTTGGTTCGGAAGCACCCTGATGACTGTAGAACTCAATGCAGTAGTTACAAAAAAAGCTTTCCAATCTGTAATCCTTTAATGTCTGTCTGTCCAACAGGTTTCAATCTTAAATTAAAATTCTTGTCTGTTTGAACGCTTAAAAGGAGCCTTAAATCCAGTCATTTGGGAAAAGATTGAACAGGAATCCAGGTTGCCAGTTTTATTAMTACAATTTATTTATATACCTGCCTATTACAAATATGAAGAATAGGATGCAAGTGTCAGTTGACGGTTTCTTTTGTTTAATTAGATGATGCCCTTATCAGTCTCTTTTATCAAGAGCTATAAAATTATCTGTGTTTTTTGAGGTGAGAACAAAAAAAGGGATTCACTTTCAGCAGAACCGTATGTATATCTGTTACAATTGTAGCCAGCAGAACTRTTCGTTTTGTTATTCCTTTTTTTTTTTAACAAAAGCTTGAAGTAAAAGAAATCGCTGTATTCTGTTGCTCCAGTTCAGAACACTGAACCAAGCAGCTGCTTCTAGAGAATGCTGGTGAAACGCACCACTCTCTTCTAAGCCTTGCCTTGCTATAAATTATTTGTTGTGATTGTGATTAATTTCATTTGATGATTCTTGTGCAAAACAGCTAAGCAAAAAAATCCTTTGGTCTACATCAATCAAAAGTAGGAAGAAGCAAAATTGTTCATCTCATCTGTTTGTTTCTGGCAGCCTTTTACTACCAGTGTAGCTCATACCTGTGCTTTCATTCTGACTTCACCCTGTTTTTTTCTTTCCTTTTAGCAGTGGTTTAGCTTCAAGCAAGATGTATGTATATTGGCAACCAACCTGGGCTGGTAAACATGATAAATGATAAAACATGAAAAATGATTTAAAAAAAAATTGCTCCAGCTTTGTAAAAATTCCAGGGGAACTATTTTGTTTTCCCTAGCTCCTTGCAGGATTGCACTAGGCAACCCTGAATGCCACATTCATCTCTGTTTTTTTTTCCTCTGTTAATGGCCAGATGTTTGCATGTAAACAGGATCCCAGCTCCGGGGAATTCTGCTCCTGCTGCTTAATAGTACTACCCGACAGCAGATAGTCTTTGATTCAACAGAGATACTTAAATCTTAGCTCATTTCCCATCTTCTGTGCTGTGTTTTTGAGATCCTCCCAATTATATCAAAACAGCCATTGCTGCCTAAACACTAAATACTACAAGTGACCATGAAATAAAATCTCATTGCTTTGTTAGCCTAACTCCCACACAAAGATCAATGTGTGATGTAAATAGTGKTTTTTTTTTCCGTGGGAATCCAGCAGCGTAGATGAAAAGAAAAACCAAATGAATCCTGCAGCTGGGGAAAGTAGGAAATCAGTGTCATCTTAGACAGTAAGAGGAAGGAGATGTCATTCCAAATAGCCAGACTTTAATGCTGACAGTCTCTGAAAATTTCTGTTGAAATTCAACCTGATACAATCTTCAACTTGTAATTTTTTTGCTTGGAATTGGGACTTTCAGGTAACACAGCCTACTTTTTATTTGAAATGTAGAGAAACACCTAACTATGTTGATATTAGCATAAATTTGGGGGAGCAAAACTGATTACGTGTACTTAAAATAAATGGCTCTGCTTTCTGCTTAATCCTTTCCGTTAGAGCTGCCTGCTGTAATTCTGGTGCTGCATTTCTGACTCCGAAGTCCAGTACGTGTTTGTGGTGTGAAAACAAGAAGATTTTGGTTTGGATTTGACACTTTATTTCAGTTTTCACTGGTTATTTTATATTGAATATCTTGTTACAGATGCCCAGGGCAGAACTGAAAAGATTCCAGATCGGGTCTGTTAGTGCAGGTGGTACAAGGTTTTGTCTGAGTATTAGATGAGAATATTAGATGAATATTAGAGAGAGATGAGATGGGCTCAAAGAGTTCAAATAGMTGGAATTTTAAGTAATTAAGTAATGAATTTACTCAAAAGTTATTCCTTTTCAGACCTTATATGCCTAAATGTGAGCCAAATAAATTTCAAAAATAGTAGGTCTTGGCTTTTGCAAGAAACACTGCATTTTTAGTCCCAGACACAAATATTTTAATCCTGATCAGCTAATTAATAAGAAACATTTGAACTCCATTTGAACTTTTTTCCCCAAAGTATTAATTTTAATGAGACCTAATCTGGACCTTTTCAGCCTGAAAGCGCCGGGTTTCCGTGTCGGGCGCTTCCCGGGGGCGGGATGGGACTGGGCCTTCCCTGCCGTTATCCCAAGATACTCCCCATCCTCATCAAGAAAMGAACCTCCCCATTTCCATTTTTAACTTATTTTCGCCTATGTACATAATTCTATTTAATGTTTATTGCCAAATCGGTTGTTTTCTATTAAAAATATATTTGTTACCCCCTTCTGCCTTGGTTTCGTTTTGCCTGACGTTTAAAAAAAAAAAAGAAATCTTATTATAATAGGTTATTGTAGTGATTACAATAGGTTAGTGTAGTGATTATAACACGTTATTAAGCGCCCCGCGGGGGTTGCTGCTCGCGTGGGGGTTTTGAGGCAAAAAGCGGGGGAAACAGGGTCGCGGGGGGCGCTGGCGCGCGGCCTCCCGCCGCCAGGGGGCGGCGCGGGCAGGAAGCGGCGGGGCGGGCACTTCCGGCGCGGGGCGCCGGGGAGCCGCGGGCGCGGAATGGCCGCCGCCGCGTAGCGTCGGGCTCGCGCCGCCGCCGCCGCCATGGGC